GCACGCGGAGGCACCGCTGAAAATCCTGCTGCCTACAAGCTCGCTGCGACTGCCCCGAACGCGATGCTGCGCCAAACGACGCGACAGTGCCGCTCGGGCCTGCGCGCCTGCCCGTCGGCCGTCAGACGCCTCGCCACGATGCCGGCCGAGAGCGAGCTGCGCAAGACGCCGCTGCACGCCGAGCACCTTGCTCTCGGGGCCAAGATGGGCCCGTTTGGCGGCTGGGACATGCCGATCCAGTATCCGGACGGCATCATGAAGAGCCACCTCTTCACACGGGCCAAGGCCGGCCTGTTTGACGTTTCGCACATGCTCGGCGTCGTCGTCCGGGGTGCCGACCGTGTCGCCTTTATGGAGTCGCTGTGCACCGCCGACATTCAGGCCCACTCACCTCGCATCTCGTGCCACGCCACCACACCAGCACACCCTCGCCGCGGCTGCTGCGCCTCGCACCCAGCCCGCGCACCTCCATCACTCGACGCGGTCCCACCGCAGGCGCTGCCCGACGGGAGCGGCACTCTCTCTGTCCTCACCAACGAGGCTGGCGGCATCATCGACGACATGATCATCACCAACGCGGCACGCGGGCCTAGCGAGAAGAGAAAGAGAGTCGGCCCGCATGCGAAGATCGCGGCAGGCTGAGCGGGCGGGCTGTAGTGGGCCCCAACCGCCTGCAGACCACACCTTGGCGGCGACGAGCCTCACCTCCCCGCTGGCCGCCTGGCAGGGCGACCACCTGTACATGGTCATCAACGCGGGGCACGAGGACAAGGACCTGCCGCACATGGAGGCGCAGCTCTCCAAGTTCGTCGCCTCGGGCAGCCGCCCCGCGCGCTAGGCGGCGCGGTACGCAGCTCTGTCGCAGACGCCTCCCGCGCCTCGGCTGTAGGCAAGGACGCGTCTGTTGAGACGCTACCCAACAACGGCATCCTGGCGCTGCAGGGCCCCGCGGCGGCGGAGGTGCTGCAGGCGCTCACGCCGGTCGACCTCTCCCAGATGCCCTTCATGAGCGCGCGGCCGATGGAGGTGGCGGGCGAGCAGTGCTTCGTGGCCCGCTCCGGGTGCGAGACGGGGATGCACATGCGGAACCGCACACACGCACACACTGCACGCCCCCTGCCGCTGGAGGCGGGGCCGCGGATTCGAGCTGTTCCCTCAGTCGGCACGGCCACTGCCTCTCCGCTCTCCGTGGCCGCGTCACGGCTGCGGGTGCCGCGCGAGGCGTTCGCTCACCGCGCCCCTCTGGCTCCGCGTCTCTCCGCAGGTACACGGGCGAGGACGGGTTTGAGATTGCGGTGCCGCCGGGCGGGGGGTCGCAGCACGCCGTGCGCGGGCTCTGGAGCACGCTGCTCGAGAGGGAGGACGTGACCCCGGTCGGGCTCGGCGCGCGCGACTCCCTCCGCCTCGAGGCGGGCCTCTGCTTGTACGGCGAGCGCCACGCCTCCTCGGCACGTGCTGCTGCCGCGGGAGGAGCGGAGCGGGCCGGCACGCGGACGGCGGTGTGAGTAGGCAACGACCTGGACGACACGACGTCGCCCGTGGAGGGGGCGCTCGCGTGGGTGATTGCCAAGCGGCGGCGCGCCGAGGACGGCTCCTTCTGCGGCTCGGATCGCATCCTGGCCGAGCTTCGGGACAAGTCGCGCACGCGCGCGCGGTGCGGCTTCGTCGTCGACCAGGGGGCGCCGGTCCGCGAGGGGACGGCGCTGCGGGACGAGTCGGGCGCCGAGGTTGGCATCGTCACTTCGGGCGGCTTCTCGCCCTGCCTCAAAAAGGGCATCGGCATGTGCTACGTGCGAGAAGCCACTCTCCCGCGGCGTCCGTCAGCCCCCCTCCCGCTCCCCACCCGCACACCTCCTCGCGCCCCGCCCGGCAGGTGACGCCGGGCCGCAACAAGTCGGGCACCAAGCTCCTCGCCGAGGTGCGCGGCAAGACGCAGAGCCTCACCGTCACAAAGATGCCTTTTGTCGAGCAGCGCTACTACCGCGGCCCGTGAGGCGAGCTGCGCCTGCATGCCTGCCCCGCCCCCCGGCGCTTGCACCGCTAGATGACTTGTGCGGAGCGCGTACGTGCGCTGGGCGAGGGCGGCGGGGGCATGGCCGTTGCGCACTTCCCACTGCGGTCTCGCTTCCAGCGCTCCGCATGTATGTGGAGGAGGGGCAAAACTCTTGTCGAACGTTCCGTCGCTCGGAGCGCTGGCGGACCGGAGGGGCTCGCATGATCTGTACGGCTCTCGATCTACGGCTTTATTATATTAAAATCCGCGTACTGGCGTACTGTACGCACAGGAAAAGACTAAAGAGGCGACAGCCCACAGCCTGTGCGAGCCGCACAGCCGCGCGGGACCGGGAGCCGCCCACGCCCAGCCCGCCGCCGAGAGACCAGCTCTCTGTCGGGGCCCGAGCCACACACAATAGAGTTACGAGACCCGCTCGTGCTGACTGAGACATGATGAGAGGCTAGGAGGTCGTGTTCACGCTGGTTCCACGCTCTATACTCACCTCGTTGCGTGACGCTGACGGCGTGGGTGGCGGTCCTCCCCCCGCCCCACGACGCGCACGCCACACGCATGCGCCGATGCGCGCGAGATGTTCCGATCACACAGCCTGCACCGCGTCACTGAAGCACGCAGCATCCTTTTGCCGCGCTTGAATCCAACTCTGACGAGACATCCTTCCGTGGGCTGCTGCGCGTTGATGGCGGGCCTGGCCCTATCGTCAGACCGCTCCACTCACTTTCTTCGAAGTGGCTGCTGGTCTCCGCCGTGCCGGAGAGCGTCGGTCGAAAGTCGACGCCTCCCGCACCCGCAGATGTGGTGTACCTGACTGTGCGCGGCGATTTGGTCCACTGGATGGTCTCGGCCGCCGCATCGCCAAAAATGCGATGCTCGAGCATCTCGGCGAGCCGGTCTTCCGCGTGTTTGCGGGCGAGGGTCGCCGCCCCGAGCTCCGTTGCCTGCTTTTCCAGCTCGAGGGTCATCTGCCGGTTCACGACCCGCAAGTCAGCGTTGGCTCTCGTCAGCTCTGTTGACTGCGCGCCCGCGGCCTCCGCACGCTCGAGCGCCGACTGCACTGCAATGCGGTCTCGCTCTGACGCCTCTAGGGACTCTCGCGCCGCCGCCGCCGCCGCGATTGCACCCTCCAGCTGTTCCTCCAGTCCCCGCACCCTCTTGCGCAACGTGTCAACCTCTAACCGGAGGCCGCTGCTGGCGTCCCCCCGGAGGTTGTGGTTTGCGACGCGGCTTGCCACCGTCGCCGAGGGCGAAGCCTCGCTCGAGCCGTGCGTGCTGACGTCAGCATCCTTCGCATCCTCAACCACCCAGCCGAGCCAGGCGAACATACGTGTGCGCGCGTATTGGGCGCGCCCTCGAAAGCCGGCGGCAACAACAGCCACGTAACGTATTTTTTGATGCCATCAGGCGAGGAGAGAACGTAACGATCTGTGGCGGAAAAAGGTGCACGCATTGGTTCGTGGGGCTAGCCGTGCCTCTTGGAGCAAACAAAGTGTACCAAAGTATCCAGTTGGCACGTGCGACAGAGCACGAATGCAAAAGCACCTCGCTCGGCGGCTCCCAGCCAGCACCCAGGCGTTATAGTTAATAATACGGCGGAGGCGAAGAGGAAAGTCTGAGGAGAATGTTTACCTTCAAAGAGGGCGACTCGGAGAGCTCGGAGGAGGAGTGGGGCGGATCTCGAGAGGGATCCTTTTCGTCTGACGAGTTTGTTTGACTGTTTCTAGAGAGAGGGAGAAAAGAGAGTTTTTAGATATTAGCTGTACTACAACAAACTTAAAAATATCTTACTTGCTTTGGGACGGCGAGGAGGTGTGTGTGTTGTTGGAGTGGGAGAGAGAGGAGAGCAGGCGGACCACAGAAGGCAGAGGGGGCGCCCCGCGCCCGCCGGCGCCGCTAGGGGAAACCCCCGAGAAGCGCGGACTAACCCTCGGAGACCCGTGAGCCGTGTTTACTTTACGGCCCTTTCCCTGCGAACGCGCACCCCCCAGGGCTAGGGCTTTCTTGCCCGCAACCCGATCCCGATCATCTGGCCCGCTGGGTGTGCTTCTTAGCCCCCCGGCCCTGGATGTGAGGCTAATAACTGCACTCCAAGTGCTCCAAAAGGCAGGAGAAGGCGGATGAAGCGCGCTAATATAATAACTGGGTGCTAAATGCCACAGGAGAGAATGGGAGCGAGCAACAGCAGGGCGAGAACAAAAACGCAAACTCAAGCAAGCAGGGGTTCAAACAAAGGAGCCGAGCGCACAAACAAATAGGCAGTCGTCGGACTGCACTCCAAGTGCTCCAAGTGCGTCGGAGGAGCAAAGAATCCTTCACGCTTCAGTCTAGAGAGAGATTTTTGGAAACCAACAAGAAAATCACGACTCTCACAGTGACTTGGGCTCGGCAACTTGTCAGCCCTCAGGCTCAGCCGAAGCTGGGGCCGGTCCCGTACGGCCGAGAGAGCCCGCGCCGATGAGAGTTCGATCGACGCGGTCTGGGGCCTTGCGGAGAGACTAACTAGCGAGAGAGATGGCGATCGCTGTACTTCATGGTGGTCATGTGATGACTGGCTGACAACGTGACAAGCCAAGAGGTCGATACCCTGGACGACCCATAGGATGCCAGCTGCCAAAAAATGCCTGAAGGAAAAGAAAGAAAGAAAACACGCAACCCAAGGGAGGGATGGCTGAAGGAAAGAAAGAAAGAAAGAAAACAGAGAACCCAAACGAGGGATGGGGGAGGAGGACAGGGTCCACAATGGCTGAAGACACTTGGAGCACTTGGAGTGCAGTCACCCATCCGAGTTTATTTTTCTGCGCAAGCCGCTGCAGCGTTCCTTTCCGGCTTTATCGCGCCTTTGCGTCGTAATTTACGGATGGCCCCGGCCGTTGATGCTTTAGCGGCAGCATGAGCGAGGCGTCCTCTGCTCACCTCGTTCTCCATTTTGATGTCAACGAGACGATTATGATCGGCGACCCCGCCGGCGGCGACACGTACGACGACAGCCTCAACAAGATCCTCGCCAAGTCAGCCTTTTGCCGCGCGACTGGCCCGCTGGGCAAGAACGGCGCGTGCGACATCACTCCGACGGCCTGGCACGACGGGACGCCGATGGCCGAATCTCCGCCGGCGCCGCCACCGCTGCAGCCAGGTTGGACGTTCGATACTCCGCCCGGTGCGGCCGCCTTCTACAAGCAGCCGGCGCTCAAGCGCGCACACGCGAAGAAGTTCGCCGACGCCGGCTCGCCCGGGGCCGTCTACGCGGCACAGCGCGAGCGCTGCCGCGCCGCACTCCGCTGGGCGCATGCGCCGCACCCCGCGCTGTCTTCGGAGGACGGCGCCGGCACGCTGCTTCCCGCCTTTTACCGGACGCTCGACTGTCTGCACCGGTCGGGCCGGTCCTTCTCGGTCGTGCTGCGCACCTTCGGCTCTGACCTCCCGCGCGTGCAGGCGGCCATCAACGCCTTTGCGCGCGGAGAGCATCCCGACTACCCCGAGGGTGCGCCGGGCCTCGAGCTGCCGGCGGAGCGGATGTGGCGGGGCCGGTACGACGAGGGCGGCCGGTTCTCGCTGCAGCCGCACGACGAGGGCTCCGGCGCGCCGACCATCACCGACGAGGCCGAGGCCGTCCGCGCGCTCTCCTCGCCCGGCGTGTCTGGCGTGATGGACCACTACGGCTGGTGGGACTCGCACGGCAACGACCCCGCGGCGGGCAAGCCGCTGTGGCTCACTCTCGAGGAGGCGACCACGCGCCACCTCTTCTTCGACGACAACATCCACAACGACCCCCAAGACTCGATCGTCTCTGTCCGTGCGCGCCGCGACGGCGAGGCGGCCGCCTTCTCACCGTTGAGCGGCGCGCAGATCTGCTCGCTGCACGGCGCCGTCTTGCGGCGCGTGCCGACGATGCAGCCGGTGCTCGAGCCCGACTGGTTCCTCGCCGAGATTGAGGCGTGCGGGGAGCGGCTCGCGCAGCTGCGGCGAGGGCAGGCGTGGGCGGATCTGTTGAGCACTTGAGAGGCGGCGCGCGGGAGAGGGGGAGAGTTGCTGTGAGGCGCCCGCGAGACTCGGACGTGACCGGCCCATTGTCAGTCGGC